AGAACAGCAAATGGAAATTAGGAGGGGGGGGGGAGGGAGCATGAAGCACATTTTCCAGACAATACCCCCTCAGCTTTCTCCTCCCACACCAATCACTTACAAATAAAATGGATGCAATGTAAGCCTCCCTTTCAGAGTTTGTTGGTGCACCATGACATCAGCATCAGAGACGGAGCCAAGTTCAGAACTCCATCTGGGACAAATAATGTTGGGGCGCATTGTGCTCTCTTTTGTTTATACACAATGACGGAGAACGTCTTGGTGGTAAGCAAACTCAATCCAAAGATTTATTTCTTAAGTCTTCCAAAACCATTGTTGTGACTTCATGCTAACTTTTCCTGATAGTTATTTAAAGGGAGGGTTCTTTGCCTGCCCTCACTTCTCACTTTCTCTCCTTCCCCTCCCTAAAGAAAGTTCATTGTTCCTAAGAGCTATAATAAGTTCCAATGATGGAGCATTCACTTGAAAATTCAGAGAAGAAAGCTGAGGCATAAAACAAAAGTCATCACAGGCTATTGTGATCTCATAGTTATCCGCTTTCCAAAATATTCCAAGAGACCTCTTCAGATTGTTAGTGTGGATACGATGGATGTATATTGGGAAGCAGCAGTGCTAGAATTTCTATCTACCCAGCCAAACAATGCATACAGGTTCATTTGAAGGGCTGATAAAAATACCTTGCATGTATGGTTTCTTCTAATAACGTGAAAAAATGCTGGGTTGTGAAACAGACTTTGCTTGAGTTCTTTTTCTCTCATATACATGCCCACACATGCAGAAAAAGAGAGTGAAGTTTTTCAGATACGTTCATGGAAAACTTCCTCTAGCTATTTGTCTCTCCCACGAACTCTTTCTCAAATCCAATCAGTTCTCTACACATTTGCCAGTTTAAATTTTGAAGATTTAATTATGTGTGGATTTGATTTCTATAGGTCTTCTGGAGCAACTTTATGGTCAACATCCTCCAGAAATTAGGAATCTAGATCTTCTAGTATAATTCCCAGCAGACTTAAAGACTTCTAGAGAGAAAACCTCCATAGGAATCTATAGGTCTTCCAATGGTCAACTTCTTTTGGAAGTTGATAATAGTTGATAGCAGTTACACTAGAGCAGTGGTTTTCACCCTGTGGGTCCCCAGATGTTTTGGCCTTCAACTCCCAGAATTCCTAACAACTGGTAAACTGGCTGTGATTTCTGGGAGTTGTAGGCCAAAACACCTGAGGACCCACATGTTAAAAACCACCACACTAGAGGATCTCAAGAGGTGTTATTTCGGGTTCACAAGAAATGCGGTTCTTCTATCTTCATGCAGGTTCTCCAGCTCTAACTGCATGAAAATAGAGGGCCTATTGTACTGTCATTTTTGGGGGAATCATATTGAACATCACTAACTGCATCACAGATTAGCAGCAGCATGCCTGAATTGATTCAGTTCTGTGATTCTAAAGCACAGCAGTTGAGGTCAGAATTTTCTCTCTGCATTGTTTTTTCCCACAAGAAAGATTAAACATATTCTAGTAAAACATATCAAAAATAGTTTAGTAGGAATAGGTCAAGCTTAAATATGTATCTATTACTATCATAAATGTTTCTTCTCTTACTCAAGTGTCAACTCACTGGGCACATCCTTGTTGTTTTCATTGGCCAATGTTTTGAACAACATCCAGCTCAGTAGGCAGAAGGAAGTTGCTTGACTTTTTTTAAAAAAGCCAGCTGGTGGTAGGTGGAGAAGGAAAAAGGGTTCTTGGACCACATTTGATATAAGCAGCTGCAAAAGGTCAGGAGATGAACGAGACCAGAACAACAAGCCATGAATCAGTGCTACAGCACATGCTTTGCAGACAGAAAATATATCTTGGAAAGTAAAGAGTGTATTTTTAAAAAATGTTAGAGGTTAATTCCTTAAACTGCTGTTAAAATGCCCCTGAAATGCCTTTTGGAAATAAGCATTGTTTCTTATACCAATAAAGTCACTTTATTCTCAATCATAATCTTACTTTTGTACCCTAGCTGCCCCAGCCCCAAATGTGTCACGGATAATTATGACCTAAATCCAATTGTTGGCCTCAACAGATCCATTAAATCAGTGATAAGTCAACTCAGTTAAATCAAAACATATGTGGTTTGGTTCAAGCCTTTCACTTCTGTGGATACCAAAATCCATAAATGCTCAAATCCCATTACATCCAATGACACATATACATATCCCGAGTTTCTAAGTTAGTAGGGCAGGAAACTGGCTCTGAATTTTAGTCTGATTTTTAAAGGGGCTATCCAAGGTTTGAAATGATTTGGAGAACAGAGCCCAGCTCCTTGGATAGCAAGTGGATTAAAACGAAGACAGCCATCAGGTGCCAGGGCTTATTCTGATTCCCTCCACATCCTTCTTTACATAACAGTTGGAAAGCCACTTAGGATCTGTTAAATTTTCTAGAAGGACAGCATTATTGGCTATTTTGTCGCACACCATCATCATCAGCAACTGACTCTAACTGAAGTAGACCTACAAAACTTGCATCCTGAAAAGCGCTTTTTCCATAGGCATCAACTTCAGAGAGCAGAAGTATGCCTTACTCATGTAAAATCAATTTCATTTGTACTTGTTCACTCTCTCAATTTATGATTATGCAATATAGGTAATATGCTGGTCAGAACCATAAGTAAGGCTTGGCATCAGACTGAATAAGGTCTTTTGATCTCTCTTTAATTTGGAATGACCATCTGTCATCACCCGAGCATATATAAAGAGAAACGTGCAATGCGGATGTTCCAAAATTAGGACCCTCCTCATCTCTCTACTCCCACCAATGTAACCCAGTTCATTTTGCTTTTTGATTATGTCTGCCCCACTGTGTCCATGTCTCCCTTTACAAAGAAGCCATATAAAACTTCCAAGGAAGGAAAATGAAAATCAAGCACTCTTATGAGCTAATTGGGCAGTAATACTGCAAAAGCAAAAGAGATCAGAGTTTGGTCATAGTCTATCTAGCAAACTTATTGCTGGGAGCCTAATGTATATTATCTTGAAATCTGTCCACAAAGAAGGAGAAAATAATTGAAATAGATGCACATTAAGACTGAAGTCTTCATTTGCCACGTGAAAATTAGTTTGCTTTTATCTAGAGCAGTGGTTCTCAACCTGTGGGTCCCCAGATGTTTTGGCCTTCAACTCCCAGAAATCCTAACAGCTGGTAAACTGGCTGGGCTTTCTGGGAGTTGTAGGCCAAAACATCTGGGGACCCACAGGTTGAGAACCGCTGATCTAGAGAGACTTCCTTTTAAGTAAACCATAGGAAAGTAACTTTTTTAAAAGTTTAAGCCTAAAAAATCTTCCAGCCAACATGTTCACATTACAGGATAGGGTTGGATAGGTTCGTTTGGAAGAGCCTGAAAGTCAGAAAAAACTTCCAAATGTTGACTTCTGAAGCAGTTTTGAACCATGCAGGAAAGGTGGTGGTGGGGGGGGGGGGAGGCGAATTTGAACCACTTACCTTTTATTTTTCAGAAATATTATATAATTTTTGGATGTCTCCCAAGGTTATTTTAATTTTCACAACCATTAAGCAACTTTGGTAAAGGCAAGGGAATTTTAAAAATCTCATGCCTTCCATGCTGCGGCCGATGCAAGGAGGGAAGCAGTGGGTGTGGCTAATCACAGCCATCTTTAACTGTAGTAGTTTGTGAAGGCCAGGCCTCTAATGGTAGAGACTGCAAAAGGCCCTGCTGTCAAAGTACAGTTCCCACACTGCCTTGCTACTCATTAGCCAAAATGGCTGAAGGACCCAAAATAGCTGTTTATAGGAATGGATGTGTTTTGAGGGTCTATAGAAATAATCGGATGGATGTGTCTTGAGGGTCCTCTCCAACTCAGTGGAGGAAGCAAATGGATGTCAGGAGAGTTTAGATGGTGCCTTCCTGCCCATAAGAAGGGGGTCAGTCTAGATGACCCTTGATGGCGTCTGTACTATGATTTCTGTTCTCCACCAATTTAACACAGTTTGTGCCACACAAGCAAAGTGTTTGTAGTATAACAACTACTTTCAAAGTAATGACCACCCAATGAAACAGGAAATAACTAACACTTTCAAACCAGGAACAAATTTTCTTTATTATTAATTTTTTTTTATAAAAACTTTGAAAATTTGCCAAAAATCCATGGATAAGTCAAAGGCGAGCTAACAACAGTCCGTGTGTTCTAACACTGTAGCAAGTTTCATAAGGATTGGTCTGAAAATGAGGGAGGGAGAATTCCTTGCAGTTTCCCCAGTGCCAGTGCTGTTTTTTTCCTACTGCGCATGTGTGTCCGCATTAACGAAGTGATTCGGAAGTTTTGAATTTTTTTTGAAAAACTCAGAAATGACTTTAGAATTGAACCACCAGTGCCCCCTACATCTGAAACGAGTTTTGAGCCATTTTTTTGATCAACCAAGCCTATTACAGGATATAGCACCAGGGCCACAATATGGAAGTAAGAAGTTACAATTAATCGCATTACACGGAACAAGTTATTTTGTGAGTAATGATAGTATAACAAAACCACACTTCAAACATAACTAAAGAAGTAAGAACCAAGCTGCTTTATTGCTGTAATGAGTAATGGTTTCTAGCTACTTTTAAAGTTACCATGTTAGGGGTATTTTATAAAACATTCTAGAGTGATTTTTCAATTTTGCAACTTTACCACAAATAATGGGACAATAATGAGCCATGTCCAAGTAATGTAACAAGTAACTTGCTTTCACCATTGTGAATAGGGAAGTCAATAGGGTATACTGTAAAATCCATAATAGGTAACAGAACCTATTAATTTTTGAAAGTAGCTTTCCAAGCAACCCTAGCTGGGAACCCTGGGAGTCTGAGTCCAAGAAAGCAAATGTCTCAGGCTCTGAAGCAGATACACAAAAGACGGACTGTTAAGTCACACTGCTAAGAAATACTTTATGTATTAAAGGCTCATTGAAGAAAACCAAAAGAGAGCTCAGCTTCCCACATTTACTGACCTGCTGCGTCCCATCTCCATTGACTAAGTGAGGCATCATGGCTACCTCCCCGTTCAGCAATGATGGCAACTCCAGTGGGATTTGGTCGGTCATCATCATTGTGACGTACATTCATGGAGAATTTTCCTGGGCGGGCCTCCTAGAAGAAATAAAAATGGATAAAGTCTTTGAAAAAAAAGAATAATTATAACATTTGGCAAATTCATTCAAGAGTCGATGCTAGTAGAAATGGGAAAAGTTGCTGTTTTGTCTTATAACTCAACGTGGCTGGTTATGATTATTGGGAATTAGGGATTGTAATTCAAAAAACAAAGTTTTTCATGCTCAGGTCACCAGTAGAACCTGTTGTGCTTCTAGACTTCTTAACACTTCTTAAGAAATCATTGTTCTTTTGCTGCAAGCTGCAAGTTGAATGGCAATCGTTTTCTCATACTATTAGAAGGTATTCATCTCTGCCACCCCCTTTTTTACAGCTCACTGCATTCTTCCCATTCCAGTGTCTATTTCACTATAATTCCTTCTGTTATCTAAGCAACATCACTTTCATACATGTAGAATTCACAGACACATATCTACTGTACTTTTTGTAGTAGTACCCTATTTATCACCTGGTTTTAATCTATGGTTTGAATAGCTTTCCCAAACTTTTCCAGCTGTATTTGAAAAACACCACTGAAAAGTATGCTGAAGATTTCTGAAATGATATTAACGCTGAAGTCATCTAGCAAAATGGTTAGAAGGGCTGAGAAGGAAAAAATTTCTGGTTCTTTTAGGGAATTAACATTTGGAATGACATCGGATCACGGTTTTTGGATTGTGATTTTAATGCTTTATATTTGCTAAAATTGTTCTTCATTTTAATTATTGTATTTAAGTGGGGGTTTTTTAAACTACAAATAAGATAGGTGCAGTGTCCATAGGAATTCATTCATATTTTTTTCCAAATTAGAATCCGGCCCTTCAACAGTTTGAAGGACTAGGTTCTTGTGGGTTTTTTTCGGGCTATAGGGCCATGTTCTAGAGGCATTTCTCCTGACGTTTTGCCTGCATCTATGGCAAGCATCCTCAGAGGTAAATAATAAATAGTCCAAAAATCATATCATAAGTATGTATTTTAAATAATTTTATTAATAGAAATTTTAATACAATATCATAAAATGGGGAAAGAAGGGCAGGAAAAAGATTTTGGAGTAAAAAAAGTTGGTTTTTTTAAAAAAAAAAACCTATCTAGGGATATAGGTTAAAAGGAGAAAGGAAATAATTTTAAAAGGAAGGGGTTTTTTGGTTTGACCTCCAATCTTCTTCATCATGGTTAAAAAAGAAAAGTATTCATTTTATTTTAATTCTTGATCAATTTTGCTTCCCCTCATTCACCCTTCTCCAATGTGGAAACAGTTTTTGTTTATATCTTTGCTTAAACTATATTATCATTTTCATTTCCTCTTGTTTCAAATACTCTTTACATAATGTCCAGTCCGTTGTTGTTGGTTGTTGTTTTGACATTGCCTTGATGGTTTGCAAGTAACTGAGTTTCTTTATCCATGTTCATTATTTCTGCTATTTTCAGGAGCCATTGATCTATTGATGGTACTTCTTTCATTCTCCAAGTTCATGCATATGTTATTCTAGCAGCCATCACTAAATAACTTTTTACCTAAATCCATATCTGTTATGCCCAATAAGAAGTATTCTGGTTTCATTTGTATTTTAGTCTTAAAAATTCCTTCCAGTAATTTCTTGCTACTTTGCAGATCCACCGTATATGGTAGAAAGTACCTACATGGGCTTCACATTTCCAATATTTGTCCTGTATGTTTTTCTAACACTTTGCCAACTTTTGGGGAGTTATATACCATTTTGTACCCATTCTCTTTCAAATCATAAGCATATGTATGCTTTAATTTATGATTCCAAATTCTTTCCCAATCTTTTAATTTAATTGTATGCCCAAAACGACATATTTTTAAAAGTTCTCTCTCTTTTTCCTTGTATTGATAGTTAAAACTACCAATATACCCAACTCACTTGCTGGCATGCTTATAAAGTCTATTGAGGAGATCCTAGGAGATTGCCAGACTGACACAAGACAATGTAAAGGTTTTAAGAATGTCTCCTTTGGGACACAAACCAGTCAATCTTAATCAGGAAGGTCACTGTTCCAAAGTAAATAGGGATGTTCCAATACAGTCATTACGCTTTATAACAGTAAGGAAATAGAAGTGGCTAAGGCAGAATTAGTGTGGAACAGGTACACAGTTTTTTGAGCAAAACCAAGCACTCAACTCACAGAATTGTCACTTTGTGCGCAAGTTTGTAAACAAGAAAATTAAGAATGCAGGACGCCAGATGAATTTTTAGCAGCAGATGACATTTTCCATGGCATCACTGAGCTGCTGCAAAACAAAAGGAACCAAGTATAGACTAAGCTACTTCAGTCACAAAGAGCATGAATGGCAAAATAATCATTCCAAAATCAATACAGATAAAGCTTTGTTATCTCTTTAAACTTTGCATGCATCCTTTGAGCTTACCTAGAATTGCACTGAAATGCACTGCCTGGGCTTTCCCATACACAGATATACCAGTTTTCTGCTAGCACTGCCTATTTGTTTTAGGCACTCTTAAATCCAGGAAATAAGGGAAATTTCACAATATTGCCAGCTCAATCTGTAGATCCAGGAAGTGAGGCTATGCTTCAAACCGTTATAACCACCATAAGGTAATTATTTTGTCATTTGACCCTCGTTGCAATCAACTGGTGTGCCAAATTGATAATGCAATACCCAACAGTTCTGTAATTAAGTGATCTGCTTTAAAAAAAACAAAAACAAAAAAACAACAATTTAAATTAAGCCAAGATGTCAACAAGTAATACACAGATTTGCCTCGTATGGCAATCATCTGATAGATAAGACCAAAAGCAGCACTTTCCCCCAAGAAATGCTCATTTATGGCCAGTTAATCTGAATCAATGAATGAAAGCAGAGTTTCAACTACAGTGCTCAGCAACACAACTCCCTTTGGCACTCACAATTTCACCTACCAAAGCTCTATTTTTCCCTTCTGTACCCACCACGTGGTCTGCAGCAATGAGCGTTAGTGCACCCGGAGTGATATCATGCCACTTCCAGCCAATACTTTGACTGTTCCCCCCCCCCCCCCCCCCGATTTAGAAGGTTTGGGGAAGGGCCCAGGATGTTAGTCAAATGAATGGAGAGATCTGGAGCAATTTGGAGGGCAAAATTTGTCTAAAAATAAGTCCAAAAATTATTTTTAAAAAATATTTGGAGGACTTGGGTACTTTGGAGAGCTTCTGGGGTTTTTCCAAAAGCCTCATGGAACCGAAAGTCCATATTTTGCCCACCCCAGTTACTGCGTTACAATCGCTGGCATACTGAGAACACAGACATTTTGGGAAATAGAAATGGCCAACTGGTACTTTTCTGTAGTATTGGCAGGCGTCATTCAAACTGGGAAACCAATTCAATAGTCTGAACAAGAACATCAGCCCACAACCCTATGCATGAAGGTTGTTTGAATGTAAATGCTATAGCTAGCAGCCCTGCAAGCACACAAACACACACCTATTTAACACTGCCTAATTATTCAGAGATTATAAAGAGAACTAAAGCTGTATACAATATTAACTCAAATAGAATATATGGTGAGGTTTTGGGTCAAGTAATTTGCACCCTACTTCCCTGTTGCCCCACCACCGCCAATTAACGCTTTCTTTATAGGTTCATTTCCCTTTGCCCTCCCAAATATGGTCAGTATCACTGACTATAAATAAACAGTTCAGTTTTCTGTCTCACAACTGCTATTGTCAGGACAACTATTTAAAGAGCAAACCTCTTGCTTAATGTTTCAGTAACTAAGCACACTTCAAACACACTTAGATTTCCTGTCACACCCAGAGATGCTAGGAATAGATCCTGATAAGGACGGAAAGGGACAAGGATTAAGACTGAATCACAAGGCAAAGTGGCAAAATAAAAGCATTTCTTTATATAAATAATATAACCCGTTCACTCCGTAAATGCATCCCTAAATAAATAAGGAGCAGTGTGTGTGTAAATCTACATGGACTGTTAGGCTGTGGTTTCCATCTGTCCTACAAACCTCCAACTTACAAACAACTCATAGTAAAGAACAGGGGTGAGACAACAGGAAGTGAGAGAAATCTACTACTAGGAAGAGAAATTCACTCCTGGAAGGGTTATGATGGGGAAAAGGAGTCTCCACTGAAGCTTTATCATCAATCCTTGTTTCCATAACAAGCCATTTTCCCCCCAAAATCAAATTATCTCAGGGACAGAATGTGAGGTGTAATCTTTTGAACCGGGGCACAGACAGCAAAACAAATGCCACAGGGCAGCCATCCACATATATATATAGCTGGTGTTGCACTTTAAAATGTTCTGACTTACAAACAAACTCAACTTAAGAACAAACCTACAGAACCTTGTTCATAACTTCCAGATTGCCTGTATATAATATCATAGATAGGACATGGGACACAGCTTGGAGGGAGGACCACAAAGGGAATGCGAAACAAAAAGCATTAGATAAAGAGGAAGACTGATTCAATTAAAAAAACATAACTCTGAATCTGCAAGTCAGGATTAGGGATGTTGATGATATGGGGTGATGAGGACCGTATCTTATTCATAGTGTCACCAGAAGTTGAAGTTGACTTGATGGCAATTAACAGCAGGAACAAATGATCATTAGCTATACCAGTGATTCTTAACTTGTTGGTCCCCAGATATTTTAGTCTCCAACTCCCAGAAATCCTAGCAGCTGGTAAACCACAGAGCTAGACATATTATTTTTGCTCCTATGGTAATGGCGGGAACATATTCCAGGGCGAATCATTGACCAGGCTCACAAATAACAATTACAGCACACAATTCACTAGCTGTATTCCCTCGTTCATGGCAACACTTGCTTATCAGAGATGTGAAATATGGTTGCTGCAGGAGTAGGAGAACTAGCCTTCATCCATGTGGCTAGTTTGTGCAAGGTCCAAATCCAGTAAAAGCTGGTGTTTTGGCTTGTCTCTTCACCATCAATCCAGAGAAAATAACCAGAAATTGTTAGAGGCAAAACTCTTTGGCCTATAACAATTCTGGTGGC